ACAGCACGACAGAGCAGACTCAATCAAGTCTGCTGGATCATGCTAATTAGCATGCTCCAGCCAGCCTCCACATCTTGTGTATCAGTGGAATTACAGCATGTCAGAGCTCATTCACCAAGCTTTAGCTAAAGCGCCCCCACTGCCTTTTTGAAGCATGGGGACATTGATACACGAGATGCTGCGGGCACTTTAATTAGAGCAGCTCTCAGAGCCGCTTTAATTAAAGCACTCCCTCCCCCCCCCGGCCCCGAGCATGTGTAAAAATGCCCATAAGCATCTACATGGCTACTGGGTACTACTGTACCCTGGCTAAGCCTGTTCACAGATCTTACATGCATAAATCCCTAAACTGTGGGCCAGCTAGTAGAAGGTCCATTACATGTTATAGCCCAAAAGCTGAGTGGCTAAGGCCCTTACCTACACAGCAAGGGACCTAGGTTCTAGACTACCTCTCACGGAAGACTTGAATTTGCATCTTGTCTTATTTTCTAGTCTATTACTCCATGGGTGACTGGTGCCACCTTAGTCAGGGGGGGCATGTGCCTCCCCAGCCACCAGTCAGCTACTGGGGTCCCCTTGCAGCCAATCTTGATGACCAGGGTGGGGACCCGATTGCACTGACTGGGAAGTGGCTGTGGTTCTCCCGGAAGTTGCCGCGGCGCTTCAACCAGTGCTCCCACTCCTTGGCCAGTGACCACAGGGGCGGCACAGGTGCTCCCACCTGCCCCACCTGCCTGTCGCCTAAGTGGGGAGCACAGCCTGTCAGGGGGTGTAGCAGCGCTCTCAGGCGGGGCACATGCACCCCCGTGCATTCCCTATGCATCGCTACTGCACTACTCTAACCAGTAGAGCCACAGGTGTGGCATTATTCAGGCCCTCTCCAGCCTGCCTTTTGAAACTGAACCACCTTATTTTTCATTTATCATCCCTGGATAAAACAAATGGAAAACAGCCCAGAAGTTTCTGCTCCAAGGGGAGCAAGGATCAAGGTTAGAACGTCAGAGCCTCCACCCTCCAGAGCATCCATTTCTCCAAGCCACGCACCCTCTGCTCTGCTTAGTTCCTTCTATCCTCAAATATATACATCTCCAGGGGGTCTGCTTCAGACAGAGACTGGAGACATTACTTGGTAACTCCTAAGGTGTGGCCTGGTGGTTGGAACACTGTTTGGCACTAAACATATTTGTGTCCCCTAACCACTGTGCTTCTAAGGCTAAAGTACAGGAGGGCCCTATTTCTCTTTTCTTTGTGGTCTAACCCCCCCAATCATGGGTTCTTGCCAGGCAGAAATTTGTGATGTACACTTGTTGAATGAAAGACCAATGCATGGGTTCAGCAACCAAGATCTTTATTGAGTGACACATGTAGATCAAGTGGGGAAAAGCAGTGCTTTATCTAAAACCATTCATACTCGCACACACATACACACAGGCCAATCCACTGGTGCTCAGGTTCAGTCACGATGGCCAGTCGCGTTGCCTCTGGATACGATGATCTTACGGGAGGCATGCCGGTAATTGTCTCCCGACGTGATGTGGATAGCATACAATGTCGTTGGGGCCTGGTCTTCACTGTCCTTTTATACTTAGTTTAGGCAGACTTTGCTACAGTGCCTCTGACAACCCGCTTAGCTAATCACCTTGTTGCTGTTGAGCTGACTCTAGTCACATACCTCATGGCTTAGATATGCAGATGGATGGTAAGGCTTAGACATGCATATGGCAAGATGGATGGTAAGGAGTTACTTTAATTTACAGTATCATGAGACAGGGGAGACAAGATGTCTGCTTGCTCCTTATCTTCTTGTAGATGGTTTGTTTTTCTCAAGGCTGCTTTCTCAGTAGACTGGGTATGCTTCACTCATGCATTCATCTAAAATTAATTTTTGATAATATTCTCAACACACTCACCCAGCATGTGTTTGTAGGGAACCATGAACATGCTGAGCCAGAGTGCAGCCTCATGCAGACGCTAAGTACTTGCATATGTAACAGACTGCCAACCTGGACTCACCACATTGGTCTGAGACACTTACCCTGGGCTAGAAACAGTGCCGGTGAACTCTGAGACCCCAAGGGTGGAGCCAGGGAGCCCTGCCCTGTGGAAAAGGAGAAGCCAATTGAAAGAAGGGGTTTTCACTCCCCTCATTTGCATGGAAGGGGGATGGCCAGAGTTGGGGGCCAGCCACCCTGAGCCCTGGTTAGCTGGTTTGCAAGCCAGGGAGGGACTGCCAGAGGGGATAAAATCAGCAGCTGAACTGGCGTGGGGGGCTGCTGACAGTGACTCCGGGGAACGATGCAGGAGGCCTAAGAAGAGCTGACCCAGCAGAGGGAGCAGAGAGACCCCTGTGAAGAGCCTCAAAGGCCCTGGGAGAAGAAGGCAGCAGCAGTCGGCCATGCCTCCAGCCCTGCAGCAGAGAGGGAGCAGCAGCCAGGGCTTGGGACAGAGCCGGTGCCCCAAGGCCCCATCGAAGTGTACTGAACTTGCCAGGCGTCCCGGAGGCTAGGGGTGGCAGTCAGCCCTCCACTCCACTGCGGAGCAGAGGCAGCAGCCAGCAGCACAGGTGGCAACCTTATCCGGAGCAGGGACCTGGGCCCATGAGTTGAGGAAACCCCTCACCTTCCTTTTTGATTGCCACAGAGGGTCACCCTTCAGCCTCTTTGGGGAGTTGGGGTTTGATACAATTTGATGTCTGTAGACCAGAAGAGCTTATACTGTTGCAGTCTGTTGCTTATTGGGAAACCTGTTGGAGCTGCTGGAAGCGAGCACCTTGCTTCCTTGCTGCAGCATCTCAGCAGTGGCTGAAAGCTGCCAGTTATCCTACCCGTGGTTCTTGAGTCAAGGGTTGACTAATGCATTCTGGTTTGTTTTGTGATCCTGGTTATGCCATTTAAGTTCACTTGTAAATAATCTTTCCTATTATTCTTGTTTTGTAAATAAAGTGTAAAAAGTTAAATCAGTTAAGTGTTAGACCTTCTTGGGACCACAGGCTGCTCTGTGGGGAGCAGGGGCCGGCTGGAAAGTAAGTTTGTGCTGGCCGGAAGCCCTGCCCCACTCTCACCATACCATCCCTGATATTTGGGCAGGGATGGCAACTATTGGGCCGCCACCTGGGTTACACATAGAAGTTTTATCTGCATGTAGAACAGTATTGTTGGGATTGCAGCTGGAAAACTGCCACTTGCCCCCCATAGACTGAAATGGGATTCTTCCCTTTTTGTTTGAAAGCTGAGCTTCTGAGTCTACTTCAGAAGCACAAAACTTAGGCATGGTTTGGCCTATGTCTTCATGTGGTCTTGCCTGAAGGCGATGCATAAAGCAGACTATACTGCAGGGACTAGAAGGCACCGTGCCTGTAGGAGTTAAATGGAATGCCACTGTATAACAACTCAGAACATCACTGCACTGGTAGCTATTGCTCCAGACAAGACGGATCTGTCCTTGAGCATCCCCACTGAACGCAGGCTTGGAAATGAACAGACTGGACTTCTGCCACAATGAAGGAAATGATAAATATCCTGCTGTTTGTCATCCAATTCACATCTGAAAAATGCCAGAGAAATGCAGGTCATAATTGTCATTGCTGTTTTACCTCCACTACCTGTGTGGTCATTTTATGCTATTACATCTTTTTCCTTCTTACACTTTCCCTCACATCCAATGTTTCATTTTACTGTACTCCTGAATAGGGTAGTTACCTTAAATGCTCTCATATAGCTGTGCCCAAAATACAAATAGTATTCAAGAAGAGATAGATCTTTGTCACTTGACAGCTCATATTCTGGGTCAGTGATAATATCCCATATCACTGTTTTCTTGCTCTTTCAAAATGAAGTATAATCAGCTCTCCAGGATTTCAAAAGTCTTTCAATGGCTTGAAGAACTGACAGCTTCACTGGAGCATACCACAAAAGATGGCTATGTTTCTCTTTCACGAATGAAAACATTCCTGGCATCCTTTCATTTTCATAGTAGAGCTGATTTATTTCTGAACTGTCAAACTCTCCACAACATGCTATATCTCTTTTTCCCCATGTTTAGTTGTGTTATACAGTACCTGATCAGTACAGTTTGCTTGCAGCAAGTCTGGTTATGAGGCTTTCAGATTGCAAAATGAAATTTCTCCTTATTATTAAATGGTGGATGACTAGCCAACCTCCCCGCCCCCCACAATGTTTTCATTTTTAAGCCGTCTTCAGAATTGTGCCTTTTACTATATCAGCTGTTTGTCCTGAATCTACCCCTCAGCAATGCCCTGGGTTGTGAAATATTTAGTCACATGGCTGCATTCCTTGATCCTAGCTTACTGTGGATGTTTCTATGCATTCAGGGTCTTTTCAAAGTGCCAGAATCTTTATTTGTAACAGGGAATGACAACACGCATGTGGTGCATTTAGCCATTTTCAGCTTACACTACTAAGTCAAGCTCTGATACCCCTGATAGCCACTCATCCCTAAAGGAACAGGCCCTTTTCTTTTCTGGAGTGTTTGTGGACATCTCTTTTATTTCAATTCTCATATGCATAGACAGTCAGGTGCTTTGCTTTCTCCCTTGTTGTGATCAGCATGTTAGACTGTGTCCTAGAGGGAAAGGAGAAATCCAGCAATCTCCTCTAAAGAGGGTCGCTATAGTAGGGTGAGCCCAGAGCTGCTGGGTAGCTTAGAAGAAAGGAGCAGCAGACTGAGCTGTAGGGGAAGCCCTGGAAATTAGGCTGAGAAGCCAGAGTAGGGCAGGACCTTGAAGTTCAAGGTTGAAGGAAGACTACTTTGTTAGGAAAGCAAACAAAAAAGCCCCACAACCCCAACCTGCTGAAACTAGAAGGAGGGATACATGAATATACCTAGCATATTCAAGGAGAACAGAGGACTCAAGGCCAGAAATCAAGACTGTCAGATGATATAAGAACAGGTGGTAATCCTACTCTTGAGAATAGCGTGAACTGGATTTATTTATCCCATCTTTCTTTACAGAGGCATGGAGGGAGCATAGGGGAGGATAACAGGCATAGTTGGAGATACACTCTGAAGGTTGTCTTACATCTCTGTGACTGATTTAATGAGGAAAGAGATTCACACCAATATGGGGACAGACTCTTTTTCTGGTTTCCTGTGTATCTCTGATGCTTAGCTAATAATTGTGCCTGTTATCTTCAGGGCACAGATTCATTCCATGACCTGGATGGAGGCAGGATGTTCCAGTCATTTCATAAGCAAAAAACTGTTCTTGTCCCAAGCTTCAATGCCTAAAGCAAATTTTGGCTGCTTCTGTTAATGGAAGCAATGGGCATTTTAGGAATCATTGGGAACATCTACACCTCAGTGTATGGTGAAATTGCTACTGCGCCATGCTTTAGTACTTCCTTTAGAGAGTACTAAAGCATGGTGTAGTATGGGAGGTTACTGTGCCATACATGCAGTGCATGGGTAGATTTTGCCACTAAGTTGCCATAGCAGCACACTATACCTGGGGAGCGCACCACTGCAGCAATGTAGCTGGCAATCATGTGTGGACACACATAATTACTACATCACCGGAGCATGCCATAAGGCGATGTAGCGCATCATTATGTCAACATAGTGTGATGTGTAGATGCGCCCAGTCTTTCTTTACTTTGAACTTGGTAATGGTCACTACCCTATAGGGACCTCACTCTGGCAGTTTCTATTGAGGAAGGGGGAGTAAGATAGGCATGAATGCTTTCAATTCCATACTTTGGCTTTCTTCCCTTCCCTTCCTTTTCCATTTGTGTGAAGTAGTGGAAAAGGCAGGCAAAGGCACTTGAAGACTTAGGCGAGAGTCTTGAAGCTCTCTTTGTTCTCTGATCTCTGAAGTGGGATGGGGGGGATGTTAACTTAAGCTCCAATGTTTTGCCTTTAGCAGGAGAGTAGTCAACTTTTTTGCTCCTATATCACTCCATCTTCTCCAACTCTTTCTTTGGCCCTCATCCTTAACCTTATCTAAAACAGGAAATTCAAGAAAGCACTGTGAAAGATCTCTCCAAAACACACATGTTGGAGTCATAAGACACAAAGCAGATACTTTGGGGCATTTTGGGGATGAAATAGACATGACAAAATGTAGCATTTCACCATCTCTTCTTCTTTGCTTGCAGGGCAGTCGTCTTGATGAGCAAAGATGTTCACTTCCAGCTCCACTCAAGGTCAGCTTAAGCCCTTGTTGCCTTGTGTTTTGCTGAGAATATCAAACAATTTCTTGCACTCCACTTTGGTCCTGGCTTTCTCATTCTCTCTGAAAGGACAAGGCATCTAGCATGGTGGTCTGCAATATTTTTACCAGCAGTCCAGAACGACCCAGTCTGAAAGTTGGGGTCTGAGGCTATGGGACAAGTGAAGCTCCCACTTCTTGGCCGTGGTACAGGTGAAACTCCTCACTGCTCAGGTGTGATGCAGGCAAAACCCACTGCCATCAAAATGCAACAGAAACCCCCAAGCTCTGTGGGCCATATCTAATGGATCTGTGAGCTGGATCCAATTCAGGGACCATAGGCTGCCCACCCCAGTCTAGCATTTGAAGCTCAAGAACTTGTGCTTGTTTATACTTACTTCAAGCTGCTGGAGGTGTGGCTTAACTGGGTAATATGATAAGACCAAAACAAAATGAAAACACCCCTAAAAATTCAAGAAAATTCAATCAGTTGATTTAATATTATTAATAATATCTTAACACTGGTGTGAGGGTTACTTGATTTTAATTTAGTTTACAAGATGTAATAATATTTATAAAATGGAAACTAATGCCAAGTCATATTACCTTCAGTAATAATTTCTCTCTACGCCCTTTGTGGACCTTGGTAAATACCAGCTGGTCAACCTGAAGCCTGACCATCTCCTTGCAATAAATCTGGTTTCTGTAAAGCTGAAGTAGAAGCCGGGGGTAGATTTCCACCTTACTTCCAGTAACCAGATTAAGTTTTTATATAGGTATAGATATATAGGATAAGCGTTGGCCAGCATAGTGTTTTCCTCTGGCCTCCTAGCTCCTACAGTTGTGAATCAAGAGAGAATACACAATGTGCCATGACACTTTGGGAAAGTATTTCTGGCAGGTATCTGCCTCCACTGTTAATGGCATAAAACCCCTACAGTCTCAGTGTAGTTATTTATTTGTAATGATATTGGGAAAGCTGAAGCTTATATGCCCTGTCCTGGAGTTTAATAAGTGATTGAAACCACATCAACTGAAAAAAGTTCTCCCTCTACAATCCAGTGCCATTTCAGTCAGTGTCAGATCTGTGTAAGTTGAACCCTTTCTGTTTTTAGCCAACAGGGGCTGATACCTTTACATTATTCCTATATACAGCAGCATGGCAGCTCTCTTCTTCTCCATTTTGAGTTGGAATTGGGATTCAAGGTGGTATGGCCACACATTGGCCCACCGCTAGATTACTTTGATTGATGTAGCCTGACCTAATGGGCCTGAAGTCATGGGTGACTGGTGCCTCCTGAGATTGGGGTGGGGGGCGGTGACCTCCTGGAGGAGCAGACAGCGGTGTCGGCAGTGGGGCTGGGGGGAGGTGGCGAGGGGTGATCACCCCCCAGAAGCTGGCGGCAGCAGCGGGGTGGCGAGCGGCAACCTCCCGCAGAAACCGGTGGCGGCGGGGTGGCGAGTGGTGATTGCCCGTAGAAGGCAGTGGCGGAGTTGGGGGGTGGGGTGGTGACCAGTGACCGCCCACAGAAGCCAGAGGCAGCAGTGGCCAGTCGTAAGGGAGGGGGCATGTGTCCCCCCCACCAGTCTCCTATGCCTGAAGTTTTTGTTTTTTAATACTGACAGCTAGGAAAGGCACCAAAACCTAAAATATTCTAAAGAAATGGGGGGGTTAAGGTGGGGGCATGTGGGAAAGAGGAGGAATAGTAGACAACTGGGCTAGATTCCTCAGTGAGCATGGCACCTTAAGGGCCTCCCCACATCTTGGTTTGTACTTTCAGAGGGAAGAGGAGTATATTCCATACCCCAGCATCCATGAGGTGAGTCACAGCCAGCCACCTACTGCTTCTCTGCTCTCTTTCTCCCTCCCTCTCAGTTTATTGGCTTCACAGAGTACACAAGCACAGATCCTCTGTTTGTCTGTACAGGTGTTACGGAAAGGTTGGCCATACCCCCTTATTATCTTACCCCAGTTTGGGGGTTACTGGATTGAAGGGACCACCCACAGTTTCTCCAACTTGACCCAGGTTCCGTCTGATCTGCCATCCCCTTGCAGTGGTAAAGTGAAGTTGGAGTGTGACCCCACAGCAAAGCTGTATCGCAAATACTTCCTTGGAAAGGTAAGGGGGACCTCCATCACCTCTCTACCCACCCTACCCTCCTGGCTAGACCAAACCTCAAGTCCTCCCTGAAGGGTTTAGGGTTAACTGCACTTTTTTATGGATCCCAGTCCCCAGCAGCCAAAAATGAATAAATAAGATGTTTCCCACTATTCAGCAAGCAATTTGTTACATCAGATGTGTTCTTTGTGGTCTGTGCACTGTTCTTCCGGTGCACTCTAGAAAAGACATGTTTCAGATATAATAAAGGAGATACTTTGTCACTTGTGTAGGCACAGACATAGACCTTTGGATGTGGAAGAAAAACAAATGTAAATCATACAGAGATAAAATGCTATACCCATGTTAGTCAGGAGTGAAGTGCTGAAGTCAGGTCAGCACAAATGGCCCAAGCATCCATCAGGAGCAGGCATGGGGAGGGGGACCACTCCTGCCCATCACTGCTGCTCCCATTCCAGCTGAGCCCAGCCCCCATGAAGCCTGGCTGGAGTGGACAGGAGTGGCTGTGAAGCTTCCTCCACCTTGGGACAGCACAGGAAGTAGCAGCAGCATGTCGGGGAGCAGAGGGAGGGGAGGGGACTCTGAGCACAGAGGGGAAGGGAGGGAATTTTTACCTGCTTTGGGGACATTAAAAAAGGCCTCAGAAGTTCCTGAAGTGTGGCCCAGTTTGAAAGGTGCAGGCGTGGCCCTACATTCCCTCTGGATCCATCCCTACCTACTTCTCAGGAGAGCAACCCATTTACCAGGCTACAGGTTAGAATAAGCACTCTTCACTTCTCCCATTAGGCCAATACGCAGGAAACAATACAAGATTCATGAGATGAGGAAGACAACAGCTAAATGGGGCATGGCTTTGCAGTCTAGTAATGAATACATTCCCCTGAGGAGAAGTGAGTTCTGGGTTAGGTCCTTGCTCCCACCACTTTATACATTTTACTCAATGGCTTTCTTTCTAATCCCCTCTTTTCTCTTTCTGGCATAAAAAATCTTGCATTCCTTGCTACACAGAAGCCCAGATTCAAAACTAAGGGCAAAGAATCTTTTCATTCTAGCTTATAGCCAAATGGTTGAAGTGCTGTCCTAAGAAATAGGGCTTTGAGCCCCCTGGTGAGAAGGAAATTGAATCAGTGTTCTGCTTCCTGGGTGAGTGCTACAGCCACTAAGTCACTTGTATATGAGGAGATAATTAAGGCACCCAAGTCTAGGCAGGAATTTCAGGCTGTGAATCCATTTAACTTAAGTGCCTAACTTTGAGCTGCATAAAGTCTCCTAACTCTGGAAAAGAGGTGGGATTTCAAACACACACCCCTCTGCAGTGTCGCATATTGTCAGCTACTCAGAGTGTTGTTTTCTGAGATGCCCAGGTTTCACTACAGGGGTGTAGGTTGTAGCCGTGTTGGTCTAAGGACATGAGCAGACAAGATTCTTTGGGCAAATCTGATATCTTTTATTAGACCAACTCAAATAGTTGGAAACATTCTTCTTAGCAAGCTTTTGAGGTTAAAAACCCTCTGTCAAGCTGGGGAGGCATCTGCAGTTGGTCTGTGCTCTTCCTGGATGGAATGAATAGCAAGGAAGCCAGAGGCTGGTATGCACGCAAGAAAATATGCAGTCAGTAAATATGTAAACTGAGGAGTTAGTGGGTGAGAGACAGGCCGGCAGTGCAGGGGGTTGGGGGAGTAGGGGTAAAGAATATAGCTGGTAAATAGTGGAGAGGTACCTGGGGAGTCAGATGTTAGGAAGTTTATAACGTGTTATAATTCCAATGTCTATATTTAGTCCATGATTTTTTGTATCCTGGAGGTTGATGAAGTGAAGTTCATAGGCTTGTCTGTGAAAAGTGTTTTGTAAATTTTTTTTGAGAATTAGAACTGAGAGATTGGAGAGAGTGGTTTTGTTGTGAGAATTGTACCCCCACAGGTAACTGGGTATTCTCGTCTTTAATAGATTTCCTGTGTGGATTCATTCTGGTGCATAGTTGTTGTTTGGTCTGTCTTATGTATTTTCCATCAGGACACTTTGGTGCATTGGATGAGATATATTACATTTCTGGAGGTGCAGCTGTAAGATCCAGGAATGTTAATGGTTCTGTTGTGGGGTGTAGTAATGGTGGGGGTGCTGCAGATGTGTCGGCAGGTTTTACATTTCTTGTTATGGCATGGTCTGGATCCATTAGGTGTGTTTTTGGCTGTAGGAAGTTTGCTTGTGGTGATGAGATTAGTGAGGTTAGTGAGCCAGTTCTCACTACCAAATTCATTTCTAAATGCCTAACATGGCTTTGTGAATTTCATCCCAAAGCCAACCACATATTTTTAGATGCTAAAATGATTGAAAGTTCCTTTATGACTATAACCTTTGAACCTACATGAAAGTTCCTTTATGAATAAGTCATAGAGGCTTGTACATTCAGTGCTGTGCATCCCAGGTTCTTTCCTTGCTAACGACTTGGGGATGGTGTTTCTATGATCCAGAAAGGGAAAGGGAAAGCTGTCACATGTCCTGAGAAGTGTCCTCCAAAGGACTGGAGGAAATTGGTAATAACAAGTAATCTCTAGGGATGCACCGATAGAGATTTTTGGGGCTGATACAGATAGTAAGTTTTTAAGGCAGCATATCTGCTGATACTGATCCGATTTCCGATACCCAGTTCTTCAGCTTGAAGAGCTGCATCCAACTGGTAAGTCTGGTGTGATGGAAGGGGAGGGAAGTGGTATGGGTGGTGGGGGCAGATCAAGGCCTCTGCGGTGAGAGAGGGGCTGGGGCTGGGGTAGGCATTGACCAGCTGGGGCGGGGAGGGGCGTGGGTCAGAGACATAAGCAGCTCATCTGGGGAGGAGTGTACCCCCCTGGATCTGCGCAGTGCGGGACGGGCTGCAGCTACAGGCTGGGCTGGAGCTAGGGTGCATGGGGAGTGGAGGGGCAGCTCATGGGGGGGGGGGGGGGGGAGGGGGGGGGGGGTGGGGGGGGGGCGCAGGAAGGGAGGGGGACAGCTCCCACCGCTGCGCATGGCTCATCTGGTGCTTGTCTGGCTGCTCCTACCACTCGTCTGGGAGGGCATGTGGGGCGGGGGGCATGCCCACAGATCTGCCTGTCCAGGAAGAGCCTGGCCTCAGCCTGCCCCGCCATGCCCTGTGGGCACACACCCCTCCCCTGTGTGCCTTCCTGGATGAGCAGCAGGAGCAGGGGCGGGAGCCTCCAGACAAGCACCGGACGAGCTGCATGCAGCGGCAGGAGCTGCCCACCCCATCCCTTCCCGTGCCCCGCCCCTCGACCAGATGCGCCTCTGTCACACACCTGCCCTGGCCCTGGCTGGGCAGTCCCAACCCCAACTCCACACCCTCCCTCACCTCAGGGACCTTGATCTGCCCCCCCACAACCTCCCCCCTCCCTCTCCCCTTCCACCACACCAGACTTACCAGCTGCACACAGCACTGCACACTGCCGGGCTGCGGTCCTTGCTGCCTATGTGCTGCACTGCAGCTGTGCGCACACATGGGCATTTATTGGACAAATTAGCGGCCGCATTGGGCTGATTTCCAATACAGAAAATTTTCTTTATATCAGTGCCGATCCGATATCAGACCAATGTATACTTTGGTACACCTCTAGTATTCCCTGGTGAGTACACTGTGGTAAGGAGCTTTTTTCTGACTTCCTGTTTCCAGGAGCACCAGAACTTTTACTCCAATGACACAACCTTGGGCTACCTAATTCTTTCTGTGAAGTATGAGCAGATTGAGAAGCAGGACAATCTACGCCTATTGCTAAGGTAACAGCATCCAGCTTTAAGGGGCACGTGCCATGCTCTGCTTCTGATCTTACTAAGCAGCTTTCCTGTGGCCCACATGTGGATACAGACTTCATGAGCTAATATGAATGGTTAAAAAAACCTTAGGAATGGTTACAGGGAAATCTGACTTGGGGTGGGCACCTTTTTATTAGACCATCTTTGAAAGTTCACTTCTTTTTACCTCCCAATTTCTCTCAATGGCCAGTTGTAGAAAGTTGAGGGTTCCAGTTGTGTTTGCAGGCTCATCTTTGGAACACCCCATACCAGCGGTGTAGGGACATGGCTGGCCACCCATGGCTAGCCACCCAAGTGGAAGTGGTGACTTTCAATTGCCACCACAATTGCAAAGATAAACAGGGCTGCTGGCAACAGTTGCTTTTTTTTGCCCTCACCCCGAACCTAAGTGTGTGCCTGAGGTGGTCACCCCTATCTCCCTGCCACCCCCAACCCCTGCCCCTTTCAGTTAATACTGTTTTCCCCATAGTAGGAGTGAGAGGAATCTGTTCCTCTCTTCTCTGCATAATGAGGTCCTACTGGGCAAGTGAGGGATGAATTTTTCCATAAGACCCCATTAGCTGTATCTGACCTTCCAAACAACCCTTTTTTTCTGTTTATTCTTTTAAATAGAGATATGTGGCCTTCTCTATGGGAAACTTAAAGAGGGACTGCAAATATTGTCTTTTTTGGAAGGACAAGGTAGCTAATCCTTACACACAGCCCCCCAACTTGATGGAGACAAGGTTTCAGGGGTAAATCTGATGTCTTTTATTAGACCAACTCAAACAGTTGGAAAAAAAATCTTCTTTGCAAGGGTTTGGACACAAACACCCTTCGCCAGGCTGAGGAAGCATCTGCAGTTGGTGTGTGCTCTTCGTTAATAGTTAAGGATCCAGAGGCTGGTATGCATGCAAGAAAGGCAGTCAGTGACAACATAAATAGGAGTCAATGGGTGAAACAGGTTTTTGGGGGAGAATGATTGTAGCTGGTAAATAGTGGAGCGGTACCTGAGGAGTCAAATGTTAGGAAGGTTATAATGTGCCATACATCCAATGTCATTTAGTCCATGATTTTTTTGTATTCACGAGGTTGATGAAGTGAAGTTCATAGACTCATCTATGAAAAGTGTTTTCTAAATTCCCTTTGAGGATTAGAACTGAGAGATTGGAGAGTGGCTTGGCTGTGAGAAATGTGCCCCCACAGGTAATTGGGTATTCTTGTCTTTGATAGATTTCCAGTGTGCATTAATTCTGGTGCTCAGTTGTTGTTTGATCTCTTCTATATTTTTTCTGTCAGGGCATTTGGTGCATTGCATGAAATATATTACATTTCTGGAGGTGCAGCTATAAAATCCAGGAATGCTGATGGTTCTGTTGTGGGGTGTAGTAATTGTGGGGGTGGTAGAGATGTATTGGCAGGTTTAGCATTTCTTGTCATGGCATGATCTGGATCCATTAGTTGTGTTTTTGGCTGTAGGAAGTTTGCTTCTGGTGATGAGGTTAGCGAGGTTTGGTGCTTGTTTAAAGGTTCGAATGGGTAGTTCTGGAAAGATCTCTTTAAAAGTGATCTATCTCTTTGGAGGAGTGTCCTTGTTGAGTGAAAGCCTTTTTGAGATTTGTGAGGTGATGATCATGGGTATTCTCCTCAGTGCAAATTTGGTGGTATCGGAGAGCTTGGCTGTATGTTACAGCTTGGTGTATTTAGGGTGATTGCTGGTTCTGTGCAGATATGTATGTTGGTCCATGGGTTTCTTGTATATCATGGTCTATATTTTACCATTCTGGATGGTGATCATCTTGTCTAAAAAGGAGATGTTGGTGTTGGAGTATTCAAGAGATAGTTTGATGGAGGGGTGATGATTGTTGAATTTCTGATGGAAATCAATCAGAGATTGCAGGTTTTCAGTCCAAATGATGACGATGTCATCAATATATTTTAAGTATAGCAAGGGTTTGATGGTGCAGTCCTTGTGGTATTCTTTTTCAAGTTGGCTTATAAAATGGTTGGCATGCTGTGGGGCCATTTTGGTGCCCATAGTTGTGCCCAGGGTCTGGAGAAAATGTTGGTTATTGAAAGTGAAGTTGTGTGTGAGGATGAAGCGTATACGGTCAGTAATATCTTTGGGTCTGTACTCTGAATTGTCATCTTGCTCTTTTAAGTATGTAAGACAGGCTTGGATGCCATCCTGGTGTGGGATGTTGGTATATAAGCTGGTAACATCCAGCATCCAACATTGAATCTGAAGTCGGAATGTTTTAAGGTGTTGGTGTTATTTCTCTGATGATTGTTTTGTGGTTGGGAAAGTTGTTCCTGGAATAATTGGTTTAATTTCTTCTTTTTATCTTGGATGGATGTTGTAGAAAATCTTTGGTAGTCTCTTTGTATACATTGTATAATATTAGGGAAGATGTCTGGATTTTTCTCTTTTAAATTGTTGTAGCATGCGGTGGTTTCCCTCCTGAGTTGATCTCTTCTGGAGTAGATTAGGTGAAGAAGATGATTTCTAATTTTCTCTGAAGTTCTCCTGCAGAGCTGTAAAGCATATTTGGAGTTGTGTATATAGTCAGAGGATTGTAGATGTTTAGTTTTTTGGGAACAGCGTTGTGTTGCTTGCATAAGCATAGACAATAAGTCGCTGTTGAGTTTGGCTTCTTTCTTTTTCTTGTTGTGTAGATTATAAGCTATGTATGTATGTCCCTAAATTTGGGTTTTTGGCTTGTGATCTAGGACTGGGTGTGGGTGTTCCACAGGTCCTCACAACAACCTACAAAAGTTCAGTACTACTGAGTGTATGTAGATGAAACGGGGGTTTACTTTGCCCTAAGTTGAAGCGATGGGTTTTTTAAAACACTGCTTCAATTTAGGGCAAAGTAACGCCCTGTGTCATGTACACCTGTGTCTTACCTGCCTCTCCAGTGGTGGGGAGGGGAGGGCAAGCTGCCGGTGGGCAGAGTGGTCCCTGGGCTGCGGGGTAGGGGCTGGTGTTTCCCTCCATGTTAGCAGTGCCCCCCTACCTCCCCAGGTGGCAGCTGCCCAGAGGCAGCCAGCTGAGGCGGTCCTGGGGCCACTGCAGCTGCAGAGGGAAGGACCGGGTCCCCATGCAGCTCATGCAGGCAGGCAGGCTCCAGAGGAAAAAAAAAATCAGGCTCGCTGTTTGTTTGTTTTTTTGGCTTTGGTGGAGTCTGCCTTCCCAGGCTGCTGCCAGGCTGTCTGTACGGACTACCTGCACAGCCCCTGAGTTGCACAGAGCCCGGTGCTTCGCGTAGGGCAGAAAACTAAAATTCCTCAGAGGTGTTCTAGTTTGCTGCGCCCCGAAGTCATTTAACTCTTCTTAAGTCTCTTACGCCGCCACGTGTGCTGCAGCGGCTGGAATTAATGCACAACATGTGCAAACACCAACACCATTAAAGCAGTGCAAAAGCATTTAACCTGCTTTACAGGGTCATGCACACATGCCCCTTGTTTTGTGTACACACACCCTTTGCCACCACCAGCAACCACAACCAGAAGAGTTCAGTCCCCATAGACCAGAACAGTAGTCCCCATCCAGTGGCACACAGGGAAAATGTTGTCTGCAAGACCCTCTAGTGCTGTTCACAGCTGCAGGAAGTTTTGCTCTCCATAGACTACAGCAAGTTACTTGATTAACCAATGGACCAATGAATAAGCTAAGCTAAAGGAATAACAATTAAAATGCATTTGATATACATTACCATCCTCCCTAGCCCAAGAGGTGTAGAGAAACCTAGAGGTGGGACAGGGCCATATAGAAGAGAATATTTTGCTTTTATATCCCAGTGCAGATGGGGAATGCTGCAGAGTTCAGGGACAAATAGTTTTCTAGGAAACGTAGGGAGGGTTAAAAGCTGTTCCAAAGAATATTTATTTCTGAACACAGAAACAGACTTGGAAGGCACTGGTGGCTGGTTGAAAAATAAAACAGAACTGACCCCTTCCATCATCTTGCCTCCATGCAGTAAGACTTAAGTATGGAGTCGGCAGACTACCCAAAGCCAGGTGGAAGGGAGCAGTTTCCATGACCTATGAGGATCATTTTGTGGATGAGGTAGCACATTTTGGATAGAGAAATAATGTATTTGAATCCCATTCTTGTCCCAATATATTCCATTCTGTGTTAATGAAATATGATGTAGCATATGTAGGAAAAGGTCCCAAAGAAATGATGGTGATTACACTGCTGCAACCCCATTATTTCTGTCTTATCTTTTGGTCATCTTAGATATTTTATGTGTATATCCTAGCTAAGCTAATGTGCAAACCTGAGAGCTATCTTTCTTCCATAAATAGAGATCTGAAGGGACTGCAACAACCTCTTCAAGGAACCAGAGTAATTATTACATGGATTTTTCTTTGGCATCTGTTCTAATCATTTTGTTTGTTATGTCAGGACTCGAACTGGCACCAAACATGACTTAATCCCCATTTCCTGCCTGAATGAGTTTCCCAATGCTGTTCAGATGGCAAAGGTGAGATCCCTACTTAGTATATTCACTCTCACACATGCTGTCTAGCTCTGTTTGACTATTACCTTTTAGCTTCTTTTTGCTCACTTTTCTCTTGTCCCACTTTCTCCTATGGAATTCATCTTTTCATCCTTTCCCTCTCCATTCTACTTCCTTTGGGAAGAAGGAAATTGAAAACAAAGCAGAATAATATTATCTCATGTAAATCTATGGTACACCCACACCTTGAATTTCATGTGTAGTTCTGGTTCCTCCACTCTACCTCCAAGAGGATATAGAAGAAGTAATAGAAGAGGTACAGAGAAGAGCAACACGATGAGCAGGGGCATGGAGGGGTTCCGCATGAGGAGATGCTAAATAGATCAGGACTTTTCAGCTTAGAGAAAAGACAATTGAGATATAGAATACAGGGCTAGAAAGGCTCTGAGCTTACCCTGTATGGCATCTATTACTGTAACCTTTCTTAGGGCAATTATGCTGTCTGCAAGCTGATCTTCGTTTCTCTTCTCCTATTTGACAGCACTGGAGACTCTTTAGCTCTTTCCAAAATCATAGATCCATCCATGATAACTAGACTTCAGCAGCAGCTATGGTTTCAGCTTTAGTTAAGCAGGACATAATTCTGGAAAAAAAATATTTTCTTCATTCTGCCTTTCAAAAACAAGGTGTGTGTTATATTCTGGGGTGTGTAGTATGCAAGGAAATAGCTATGTTCTTTTCTCCTCATTTTGCATTAGATTTTATTAGCAAGGATATCTGCCAAATGGTCAAGAAGCAACATCCTTCTTATCCTGCCTGCAACCATAATTCACTCTCTATCATGGCAATGCTGAGTGATAACCATATTTCTCTCTCTCCCCTGACAGCTGCTCTGTGAAGATGTGAATGTTGACCGATTCTTCCCTGTTCTCTACCCCAAGGTATGCCTTCAACTCCCGTGTGTCTCTTGCATTAGGGGCCTGCTGGTGGGATGCAACTGAGACTATTTTTATCCCTCCCCCAGGCTTCACAGCTCATTGTTGCATTCGATGAACATGTTATCAGCAATAACTTCAAATTTGGGGTCATATACCAGAAACCTGGCCAGGTGAGTGATCTCTGGGCCCTCTAGTGCACAGTCCTTAAGTTCAATCATATAAAACAAGGCTGTCCACCCCTGACTCTTGCCACTGTTTGCACCATACTGTGTGTGAATGGTGCCCACCCCATGCTGCACTGCCTTGTGCCTGAATGTGCTCTTTGCTGTTCTGCACCTTGCTGTATGCGAATGCTCCCCCCTGGACTGCACTGTGTCATGTACAAATGCTCCCTTCCCCGCACACGGCAGCAAACTATAGTACACATGGGTTCTCCCCCTGCATAGTGCCATGTGTGAGGCCCCCAGTTCCCTCCCCAGCTCTCGAGGCTGCGGGCGATTCTGCCACACCCTGCAATGCTCTGGGGGTGGGGAAAGGAAGCAGAGGGAAGAGGACCCTAAAGCACTTGGCTCCCCATAGCAATGGGGGAGTAGTGGGAGGGCAAAACCCTGGGGGTAGGAGCAGGGCACATATTAGTCCTTCATGGGCTGCATTATGGTCCTAACATAAGATAACCTTTCTAAATCTAAGGCCCAGTATAAGTTACCATAACCCAACCTGGGAATAGCTTCCCACTATTGTGGGAAACCTCAATCCCATACTGGTCAGAATAGTCTTAGTAGTGCCAAAAACTGGCACTTTTATTACTTACACTCTCAGTTTTAGGGCTTCCTCCTTTCCCTGCTACAACATCGTTGGAGCGCAACCAGGAAATGGTGCCACTTGCAAGCATTTACTTTCTTAGTCCTTTTTTTCTGAGGACTCCTTGCAGCTGTCAGTACATCCTGACCTCCTAAGATCTTCTCCTTCAGGACCCCAGGAGGTATTGAAATCCCATGTTCATCCAGTTCTTCAGGTTTCTCTCCCTTTGCAGTCTCTGAGGGGATAGGTCACCTTGCTGGTACTAGAAATGATTTACATTCCTGGAGGACAAAACCTCTGTTTTATGTGAAGGAAAAGGAGACAGCTTTTTTTCTTTGAATGAAGGAGTTTAGGGCCCTGCACCTTGGGAAGACTCCAATGGCCACATTTCATTCCACCTATTAGCCATGTAAATAGACTTCAGTGCTTATGTGTGATTCTATTGCACCTTTCTTGTGTCCTGAAAATCAGTTAATGCAAAAGGTTGGTAGATCTCCTCCTCCTTGTTGCTTTTTGCCACTCAATTTTAAACATAAATGATGGTATGTTAGAGAAGTAGATGCATTAATGAATTTTCTGAATTCACCAGGGTGACACATAATTACACTTAGGAGCCAAAGTCCACTTATATGCCTAATAAGCAAAATAGACTCTGTCCCTAAGTGCAGAAAAAGCAATGAGGGCCTTCCTCATGCCTGCCTGCCTGCCTTCCTTCTCCAGGCGAGGGGTAGGTTTGTATAAGGAATAACCGCTGGTTCTGGCAACTTCTATCATCTCTTCTCTCAACTTTCAGACCACTGAGGAAGAGGTCTTCAGTAACACTGAGGAGAGTTTGGGCTTCCTGGAGTTCCTGGAGTTCCTTGGAGACAGGATCCAACTGCAGGATTTTCGTGGGTGAGTAGCCAGCGCAGCACAGGGATTACAAATAAACATAGCTGCCATCAGACGTATTACCCGTATGAAACATTGTTATGGACAGCCCAAAACAGAACTATGGGCTTTCAGGTCCCAAATCCAGCCATGTCTTCTTTTGGGAGGTTTATGTTCTCCCTGTGGTCAAGATGCCAAAAAGCCATGTCCCTGATCCAGCCATTTTACCGTACAGGCCAATTTTTTTAAAGGAGTGTGTAATCTGAGACTCACAAGGTGCATCTACACATGCAATTAATGAATACATTCTGGCTCAATTTGTGCTGGAGCAAACTAATCCCAATATTACCATCTACATGCACATTTAAGCACAGTAATTTACTCTGCTGTCAGATAGTACCTGTGTCTGTCAGGACCATCCTACACCAGAGTAAATTAATCTACTGCACCATAATTGTGGTACATGTGTAGACAGTGGTGCTTTACTGAGCAAAAAATTAGTCTACTGCATAGTAAAGCGCACATGTAGACACACCAACAATGTCTGTGGGGCAGCCCAGAATGGCTTGGTCTGTATTTCTTCTGAAATCTTACTAGAGTTCTAGTCCCTGATGGCACTGTTTGCTTGCATGTCTCAGTCCCCAAGATGACTTGGCCCTCACTCCTAGGGACTCCCTGGGTTTGGGCCTGATTGCTGGGAACTGAGCTGAAAAGTTTGAGAATTTTGATTAGGAATACCATGGAGCTTCTGCAATGTTTTTTCACTCAGATGTTAGACTTTGTGTCTGACAAACTCAGTCTGGCCCACCCCACAGGAACCAACCAAAAGTGAAAGAGCTTTGATCAGGTGTACACAGTGATAATTTTAGGTGCCAGTGAACATTATAATCTTGGTCCTTTTTCTCTGCTTCTGTGTGACATGCAATGCTCCCCACTCAACTGAGACAGAGGTTTCCAAGATTGCATGGTTCTTCTAAGGGTCTACACTTGACTTGGATAGACTCCTTGCATTAATTTTTGGAGTGTATGGAATCTATCAATTGGTGAGCTATTAAAGTTGTCTCTGATGATAACCTTGACATACAAGCTAGTGTTACTGTGTCTCCTTTCTTTCCTTCCCATCATTCTCTCACTCAATCCATCCTGTCTAATTCACCACATGGAACTGATACATTTAGGTTCCGGGGAGGTTTGGATGTCACTAGGGGTCAAACAGGCACTGAATCAGTCTATACAAATTTCCGAGGCAAGGAGATCATGTTCCATGTGTCTACGAAGCTGCCCTTCACAGAGGGAGATGCTCAGCAGGTACTGTAAGGAGAAGGATTGAATGATTCAGCAAGATTGGCAGGTGAATTGTTTGATGCAAATAGGATCTGCCTTAGAATTGATTCAAGCAGGGAATGATTAAGGGTGGGGATGAATTAGTCCTTGGGGTTTAGAACAAGTTGGGCTTCCAAATGGGGGATGTAATAGTGCGGGTAGTGGTTAAGGTGCTGACCAAGAAGCTACTTTGGAAGTGCTGATGGGATTAGTGCCTGGCCATGGAATCTCCACTCTAACTATTTTTTCCCCCATTTCACTTGCTCCCAGCTACAGCGGAAGCGTCACATTGGGAACGACATTGTAGCCATCATTTTCCAGGATGAAAACACACCCTTTGTTCCTGACATGATTGCTTCTAATTTCCTACATGCCTATGTGGTGGTACAGCTTACATATGATGCCAGCAGGGAAACCTTATACAAGGTATATACAGCCAATGGGCTCCTCTGTGCATTGGAAGTTCCCTCTACTGTTGTAGTTTTCAAGTGCCTGTTGTGGTTTGAAAAAGCACACAGCTTAAACTTTGAACATAAACTTTGTTCAGCTTTTATTTTATTTATCCTCTCAGCCAGGTGATCAGACTAGCAAATAACAGGGATAGTACTGGCTTAAACACAGTAGTGCATTTCTATTCCACCTGTTTTAGACAGGACAAGTGCTTACATCACGCATGCATCATTACCAACATATCTTTTGCTGATTAATGAACTTAATCAACTTTTGTACATACTTTTTGCATCTATTCTACAGGGTTTAGTTGTACCATTCTACATGCTTTCCTTACCTATTATTCCAGTTTATACAGATTCTATCTCAGGATGCTCCTGAGTAGATTTCCAGTGTTTTGCTGTTTTCCACCAGTCTCCTGACGTGTAGGCTATTGACTCCTACTGCTCCAGGCATGCCTTATAGTCTACTCCTTTTTAATTTCCTTTCATTGCTTCTGGTGACTACAAGTTTTGTTTCCATGAAAACTAAGCTTAATGTCCTGACAACTGGCTGGACGCATATATTTTCAAAGACATTCTACCAGGGTGTGAGTATATCATTTTTTACACCTCCTGCCTATTCTTTTTGCCATTGGATAAGGTTATTTATTAGCAACAGTGTTTTTACTTCACCTTTATTAAAGAGATTATTTCATTATGCAGCTCTATGATGGACGTGCAGCTCTATGATAGTTATGACATTAATCTGGATAAATTTACTGACATAGCTACCTGCTCCTCCAGGATGTTGTCAGTCACGCTAAGCCAGAAAGCATTAGTCCCAATCTGGATTGTAATTATTACACTTAAGCAGATCCCTTCCCAGCCTTTTGGACAGGTTTCTCTCCCTATGGTGAAGCTGTGGCATCCCAAAGTCCATTCAGTCTCTGTGAGCCATACCCTAACCAGATGTGACTGTACCAGTTGGGCCCAGTCTCTTTCACTGCTTTTATCTGGCACCTCTGAATAGCATTTGCATAGCTAGTAATGGTAAGATTTTTTGCAATATACCTGATTAACTTCAAGGCTATCTTCAGTGACCAGTTTAAGGCTTGGGTAGTGCTGAGCAGAAATATTATTGACAGTTATTCCAGCATTGTTTACATAAAATACCTTTTTGGTTTTTCCCTCTCATTCCCAACATGACAGTAACTGTGGCCTCATACAACTGGTCATTTGGTATCCTTTACATCTTATCCAATTGTAGATGCATACTCTGCAAAACTACCTCCCCTTTTCTTTGTAATTGTTCTAAAACCCAAGTGCTGTTGATGAATTGTGACCATCATCCCATTTCTAAATCTCTTATTCCATTATTTAGATGATTAACTAGTTGATTACCACAAATTACACATGCAGTAGTGAATGATGCATCTTTGCCTTCTATACCACATGTAATACTATGAACAATAATGTATGATTAGAGGCCTTGAGACTAGGTCATACGAGGAAAGGCTGAAAGACTTGGGAATGCTCAGCCTAGAGAAGAGAAAACTCAGAAAGGACTTGCTGGCAGCCTATAAGTATATCAGGGGTGTACATCAGGGTCCAGGGGAACAGCTATTCACCAAGGCCCCCCAGTGTAGGACAAGAAATAATGAGTGCAAACTGACTGAAGATTGCTTCAGGCTAGACATAAGGAAAAACTTCTTTACAAGTTGAGTGCCGAGGCTTTGAAACAGGCCCTCCCCAGAGGTGGCACAGTCATCCACCCTGGCAATCTTCAAAAAGCGTCTCAACGCCCATCTTGCTGGGGTCATCTGATCCCAGCAGTCTTTCCTGCCCAAGTGGAGGGGGGGCTGGGCCTGATGATCCATAAGGTTCCTTCCAGCCCCTAACAACTATGAAACTATAAAACGTTGATCCATTCTAAATTATTGGCATTACGTGTATATTTTCAATAATGGTGGCAGTTTGTCTTAACCACATACTACTTGTTCTTCCTACTGTTTTAATGGTTTCATCCAGTTTAGTTACTAGTTTATTAACCCTTAAGTTTAGCCCATCAATATTTGTTGAATTCCATACAGTCATTCCCAGACCTGTTCTTTCCATTGCATGTTTAAAACATTTCTCTTTTTTCCACATTAATTCTAAGCTGTTTAGAGGTTTTGCCTGATTGTGCCCCCTATTGATGTCTATTTTGATTTCCTTTTTGCACCATTTGATACAGCATATGGCTGAGCAACTCATGTTCAGTAAAATCTAGAGTATAGTCCATTAATTTGGGGTTTCACTAGCAAAACATTTTTATTTGGGTGTAGGCAGATTCCATTAATGGGTTATGGTTCTAGGGTGGGGCACGGGCATCATTTTTCAAACTGGCCAAACTGGGGAGTTGCAGACAAGCCATTGGCCTTATTTCTGCTTGAGTCACAAGGGGAACAATTGCATTTTAAATCAGGGTACTGCTATGGTGCAGGGGGATCTCCCTCTACTTCAAGCAGGATGCAGGTGTGCATATGTCCACAATCTACAATCTACCTTAGGTTTTGCCCAGATTCCCTCAAACTGTTACATTAAGACATGGGTCCATCCAGCGGCATCCAGTGTGAGCTGGATCTGGTCTGACTGAGGAGTTTTTATAGATCCCACTATAAGTACCATAGGTGCAATACCACCATCTTTTATCTGCCACAACTGTAAGTTTGCCAAGTCAACAATGAATTTCATTTGTACTTACACTGAGCCCCCTAGGTTTTCTTCCTGATTGTTGGCAGCCATATCATGTTGTCCTGTCCAGTCTTGAGTTGCTTGTGATTCTGCTATGACCATTATTTGTAGTCTTCTGATTATTCCTTGATTTTTTTTTCTGTTTAGTTCCCTCCTCATGAACTGCTCCCTGCACGGCCCTGCCTGCAGAGCCTGCACTCACTGCAGGGGCATGTAGGCAGTAGATCACAGGTCTGCCCCAACCCTGGTCCCATGCTGTCACCACCCCAAGACTCCAGCCTGGTCTCAGAGTAGCTCCTTGCCCAGCCATGCTCCCAGCCCATGCAGCTCCCAGCTGGTCTATAGGGAGGCCCCAGGATTGCGGGGCCATGGCAGGGTGGGGCCGAAGCCAGGACTGGGGCCATGAAAATGGCTGCCCAGCCCGGAGTCTGCCCGCAAAATCTGCTGGCGAGCACCTCAAGTTTGGTAGATCCTTACCAATTAGTGAGAATTTCTCTCTTTCATATGACATTTTAGGATTACAACATTCATAGATTAATACCTAAATTTGATAAGCATTTGACTGCTTCAGGGGTAGCGGCATGGGTTGATTTTAGATCACCATTAAATGATCTACTCAGGCAATCATTCTCAATGTGTTGTACTGTCTGAAAAATTGCACTGTGATAGCAACCCAGACTCTCTTTGATTTTCCATTTATGGAGTAGGTAGTGAGTAGTAGAAGCAGTAGTAAGGCTAAAGGTACTGGACTGAAATGGAACAGAACTTGTATACCATGGGTAACATGCTTCAAGGTACCTAAGCTCCAGACAGCAGAAGCAGTTCAGACATGCCTCTGTGCTTAATGTTTCCTGTTGGCTACTGCTAGGCACCTCTAGGCTTTTTGGTATCCATTTTGGGGACATCTCCCCATTCTCCATGCAGAGCAGCAGGTGTCTAAACCTGCTCAAATTGGATTGCCCTTAGAAATCATAGAAAACTAGAGTTGGAAGGCACCTCAAGAGGCCATCTAGTGCTACCCCCTGCTCAAATGTTATAGTTACCCTTATTGAACTTCATGAGATTTCTTTTGGTCTAATCCTCCAATTTGTCCAGGTCACACTGAATCCCAGCCCTACCCTCTAGGGTATCTACTACTCTCCCCAGCTTGGTGTCATCTGCAAACTTGCTGAAGGTGCATTCTGTGCCATCTTTCAGGTTGCTGATGAAGATATAAAACAAAACCAGCCCCAGGACTGACCCCTGGGGCACTCCACTTGAAACTGGATGCATATCTTCTACTTCCCTCAGCTTGGTGTTATCTGCAAATTTGCTGAGGGTGCACTCTATCTGATCTTTCAGGTCATTGATGAAAATTATGAACAAAACTGGCCCCAGGACCAACCCCTGGGGCACTCCACTTGATACCGGCTGCCAAGTAGACATTGAGCTATTGACTACTACCTCTGAGGTCGATGATCCAGCCAGTTTTCTGTCCACCTTACAGTCCATTCATTCAAACCATACTTTCTTAGCTTGCTTGTGAGAATGTTGTAGGAGACCATATCAGAAGGCTTGCTAAAGTCAAGGTATATTATATCCGGTGGTCTTTCCACATCCACAGAGCTAGTCATTTTGTCATGGGAAGCAATCAGGTTGGTCAGGCATGACTTGCCCTTGGTGAATCCACAATGCCTGTTCCTAATCATCTTCTCCTCCAAGTGCTTAGAAATGGATTCCTTGAGGGCCTGCTCCATGATTTTTCTAGGAACTAAGGTGAGGCTGACTGGTTTGTAGCTCCCCAGATCTACCTTCTTCCTCTTCTTAAAAATAGGCACTATATTTACCCTTTTCCAATTATCAGGGACCTCTCCCAATTGCCATGAGTTGTCAAAGATAACGGCCAGTGGCTCTGCAGTCATATCGGCCAATTCCCTTAGCACCCGAGGGTGCATCGCATCTGGCCCCATTGTTACACCAATGACCAATTTGCTCAAATGATGAGTGAGACCTTATGAGAGGGACAAGGCAAGATGCCGCATTTATTGATTATAAGATTCAAAAGAGCACTTATATATACACACACACACTCACTCCCAATTACTCTGCAGATGTTATAGTTACCAAAGTCCGTTGCTCCATGCTGCACTAGGTGGCTGGCCCAGGCATATGAGGTAAGGGAGCAGGGGATGCAGATGCGTCTGCTCCAGTGAAGTTTGCGAGTGTTACCCAATTTCTGGATGCTAAGTCTCTCTCTTTTATAGGGGTTATCAAGTTGGTGTC